GTATTATTTTAACTGGCACAGACGGTGTGCCAGTTTAATTGCATTCCCGGGTACACTGGGCTTATCAGTAGTCGGTTTGCAGTTACATTAACTCATTGAACTGCGGAAAACGTTATAAAAAACATTACTCATCCAGTTACCTGCAGCTGACCAGACATCCGACCTTATGTTCAATCACGAATGGCAGTGGTTTGGTTTCTAGCAAATTTGAATATTTTCTTCAAGGTTAATCCCGGCATTTGATGGACCTCCGATGATACGGTCACCTGCTGTGCACAGTTTGCTAATATCTCTGCTATTCCCCAATGGTTTGTTATCTACGGCATTTGTTTAAAAGACTAGCGTGGCAAAATAAGACTTTTAAACTTCAGAGTGCTCATCCTCGTTATTATCTACAAACTGTGACTTGGATTTGTCTAATTGCCAACAGGTCGTACATCTACATTACTGTCTAGTGTTGAAATACGATGTAGAACGGGTCGCGGATAAACCATTAACAAGAAGGAAGGCTACTTGAAATTACTTCAGGAAACGGACGGGTCAGCAACCAGATGAGCTTGTAGGTATCCCAATTGATGGTTTAGTCATGTGAGAGGTCCGTACAGCCCCCGCTAATTGCATTGCACACCGCGACTCGAAACCACCCAGTTTACCTGCAAGTCAGTGAGCGGACTTTGCATAATTGCCGGAACAGAATTTAAGCCACATGTTTTAGTCAGCATCTGTCACAAGGAATCGTTATACGAAGCTGAATATTGTGCCAACATTTTAAGTTTCAGTGCCGAATAACCAACTAACACGACGGTGTTCCACTTCCTTGTTGATCGTGTTCTCCAATGCGTATGCTTATATGTACACGTATATATGAGTATCCAGTGAATAAGTCAAGTATACATATATATATATATATGTGTGTGTGTTTATCTGCTAGTCGACTCATTCAGATTAACTTTACCAATGTGGTCAACTCTGCAACCATGTCACGGCTGCTACCTCCAGGCTAATTCTGGCCCCACTTGTTTCACTTCGATACACGTTACAGATTTAGCATTTCATTGTTCGTCCTCATACTCGTCGTTCCCTCTATTTGTACATCATATCGCATACCATGTACAACATATCGGACCGTTCAGATGACCTCACAAACCTACCTCATCGGTGTTAGTGACTTCACAAGGTGATAAGTAACTTGTAACTAGGATAAGTCTAGCCAACTTGGTATATCCACTTGAATGTAGCTGATCTCTTAATAATACTTAGCTGAACCATAAAGGTAAGAATTTATTTTTTTGTTAGAGGAAAGCATGAACTCCTGGGGAGTTTCAGCAGGTTACTGAAAACAACTGACCGGATAATGGTGGTTAATCGTAGCACCAAACCATTTAAGTTTTTGAGAACAAAACGTTTCCAATAGCACAAAAGTAGGCATGTGTACAGCAAGAACATCTGGACATGTTTCGGATGCTCCTTAACTCGCCGTTTGTTGTGACTGATGCGATTACGCTAATCTGGAAGTCTTGACTCAGATATAACTATCGGTCTTCAATATAACCAATACTGGAACAACAGAGCTCTGCTAAGGCTAGTTTTAAATCTCTTATGCTCACAAAGATTTGGGCGAACCATTTAGACGTACGCTGATTGGGACAACTTCCCACCATACACCGAAAGTAACGGACAAGAAATAGTTGGCGTTTCCGTTCTAACGTCCGGTTTAGCTTAATCTTACAACGAAGTAGTCAAGAGACCCACCCTTACGACTGCCATCCCTGGACATTTAGAGAAATTTCGCATCACGCTTAGGTTGATGTGACTCATTCAACCCATCTTGAACACCACAGGCTTGCACAATTCCGACTGTTTTGAATGAACACATCAACGCACAAGTGGACAGAAGCACACACAACTTCAAAATTATTGAGGTGTCGTTCCGCCTCCAACAGGATCCGGGTGAACAAACATGTCGGATGTGACAATGCCTATTACGCAAAACACCACTTCCATGAGTGTGCCTCAGGTCACAGCGGGCAGCCGATAGTTTTATGACCTTATTCCGGGAAAATGGGGATGAAACCGTTTTCGACACTGAAGTGGAATAATCATGAACTGCCAGGAAGACAAAGGTTTCATGTGCTTCTCACCAACAGTCAAAACTATGTGATCAGTCATGAGGAATTGCGCAAACTCACAATGACCTAAGGGGCCTGCCTGAAGCGAAGTTTGTGTTAAACCGGCTGGCTGTGGGAAAGGGGACAAAACTTTCATTTGAACTGGGCTTATCTCAAGGGGATGCAGCGTGTTGTCCCGAGACAAAGTCAAGCAGAAAATGATTGCCCCACCTGGCAATTTGATCTACATTTACAAGTTGAAACCGGTCAATCTCAGTCACAGCTTGCATATTCAAGCGGATTGCAAAAAGAGACATCATGTAAACTCGAACTTCACTCGCTGATTCGAACTCGCCAGTGGTGTGTCTCCTTATGTGGAAGAGGAGTTGGATTCTAACTTTAAAGCTAGCGCGATTAACATGCTGACTAAAATTCAGTATACCAGACATCAGTAAAATGGAAACAAATACTTCTGCTGGATCGTTACACGAATGCCTAGCCGAATGCAATGAACAAACCTCAATCGTTCGGAGTGTTGATACTGTTCACACAATGAAATAAGTTCCGAGAGAACCAGAAGAGTCAAAGATGAATTCAGTCATTCTAGTTGATGAACTTAAGAATGGCACTCTGTGCCACGGCCAAATACTAATGACTTAGTTTGATAAAACGGTGAGTGAAATTCGGTTTAGGAAATAGAGACAAGGATCAAAAGCAGGAAGAAGGAACCCGCCCAGCTTAGTTATTCGATCATCACACTCACGAGATCGACTTTTGAATGTTCTGTTTGTTTGTATGCTATTCGTTTAGAAATGCAAGTTTTATCTCCAGCTGCCGCTGTGGACTGGTCGTGACCAATGAATTGCAGTTTTCTACGTGTTAACTGGTGTCATCCACAACCTACCAGCACTATCAGTTCAGACTAAATAAATGAATTCCTCTTACAGGCACATCATGGCACTTCGTAATGTAAGATGGTAATCATTCTATTCCGAAGACGTTTGTTTTATAACAGTCACTTGCAGTCATTGGTTCTGTGACGTAAACAAGTGCGCTGCCAGATCTGAGTCCATAATTCGCCAATTCAGCAGACAACCATGCACGTACACGCATATACCACGAAATACATTCATTTGGGCATGTTGTGAGTGTCCACAGTGTCCAGAGCATCGAAGAGAAAGATATTGTCGCATTTTGTTATCCTAGAGGAAACCAACTTGAGAAAAACTTGAACTTCGGGCTGATTCGAACTATCAGCTTCTAGTCTACAACAATTGTTTATGCGGATTCTGGCACTGAATGCTTGAAAATTTCAACCGACGCAGTCTAGCCCTCGGATTATTCACTGAGTTCAACTTAGCATAGCTGGGTTAGTGGGCACCTGTTTTTAATTGTGAAATTTTTAGGAGCTACCATCATAACTTCGTAGCTCAATCAGTAGACCACTTGCCGTCTAAGGACATATAGGTCGTGCAGTTGGTTCAAATCCATCCACGGCACATAGTTTTTACGAACGGGTCTTTTCCGAGAAAATGACACAATCGTCAAACAAGTAAGTTACTTCTGCACTAATCCATGTGAGTTCACGATACCGGTTAACTGCTGTCCCAGTTGCTTAAGTCACATGCTCGTCTGTATGGGCAAAACATTTATGACTGTAAATCAAGACTCGTTCGGTTAATTAGGTTTAATGAACATATGTGAACACTAACTGCAATAAATGAAACTGTGTCACTTATGCGAAATTTCAGTCATTACAATATAAGTATACTTGGTGTTAAACTGAGTTTGTATCCTAACTGCATGTAGTTTACGGGCAACGGTTGAAGATGGAAGACAACCCGATGCGCCGGCATGCTACACACTCGTGCTAATCATCAATAAAAATATCAGATGATATGTGGACTAGAGGTGTTTAAGGTTGACACTCATCTAACAGCTGGTTTGTGAACTGTTATTATGGCGTTAACACAGCGCATATAATGTTCAGGAAAACTTTCAGTTGACCCAAATCAAACGAGGATGTTGATTCCAGTTTGGCTTTAGTTACTGGTCATTAGAAATATGTACGGGAATCTTAATTCAATATCCATGTTGAGGAGAGGGTGTGACGATTTTTACCGTGCCCAGCATATCCAAAAATTTCACCTTGCCGATCAGCTATCATAATATAATTAACTTGGTTCAGTGAGATCGGTGGCTTTAGTCTGCTATGCAACTTGTTGTTAGGGGGCATCAGTAGTATGGCGTGCGCTATGCAATTTTTAGGAAAACCAGCTACCTTGATCCATTTCCACTAGAGTTGTATGCCGTGTTAATCGTCTCCGTACATCTCTCATCAGCTTGCCCTGTAGTCATAAGGCTTTACCCGGTCTACAACACATTGGCTATCCGAATGGCTTACATGGGATGAAAGCACTGACGCATTACAAGACCGGAAAATTGTGGATGTCATAAATCGGTCACGTCTACTGTGAAGCGTAGTTGTCGATACGCCTACTCCACACATATGCGAACCGGTGTTTAACTCTGGACCCTGCTGGGTTGTGCACTGCTGATAAACTCTACTGAGAACAACTACAGAATTCACTGTTTCTGCTTGAAGATGTTGAGGCTGAATGCAAACGCTGCGCAACTGGATAGACTTAAGACATTCAGCTATTTAGCAGTAACCTCGACTTGCTTTGGTTATCTTCAAGAATCATTGGTGAAACGTTTAAAAACCGAAGAAGAGGACGAATGAGAAGTAAATTTCGCATGTTAGAATTGCCGTCAATGTGCACCGTTATGTCGATTCGAACACATTCTCTTACGGTTTTCTGAAATCTTGTTCTACTACTAAATAGTTCGGCAGATTTACAATTTCAGATAAGACTCAGCTGTCAAAAGTCAGAGCTTCGGCTGGAGTCTAACCAGCGACAGAAATACCATGTATCAAAGCGGCAAGCGCTTTATCAACTGAGCTACAAAGCCACGCCAGATGATCGAAAATTTCACATTTGGACTCGGTTACCCACACGTGCCACCGTCTCATATGGGATCTACCAAATGATTCAGGGGGTCGACTGCCCCGGCAGGGTTTCTCGAACAGTTCAAGCTGGTATCCACCAACACCACTGTTGAGCATAAGTCTGTCAAACTACTTAGTAATAATACAATTTCTATGCATCCGCGGCCGCAACGTACAAAATAGTTGTATTGCCCAGATTGCTTAGAGATAATTAACTTAATGTTTAGCAGGCCACTTGCTCACACCGTGGTATTATGGTCAAAACCCCTTGCCTAACAAAAGTATAAGCTACAGATCTGTTTTGTATATCAGCAAAATCCTGGCGCTGTAATCAATCATTGGCAGAAATCGTGAAAGTAGTTTGAGGTACTTAACTCCTCGATTATCCGTAAGTTACATTCAGTTGTTTCGACGCATAATCCTAGAATTGGACAAAACTAATATGGTCGACTATAATCCCAGATAGATGAGAAATGGCAGCATGAACCCCGCTGTGCTCCCATCTACAGGTACTATCGGTTTCAGCATGCCAAACGCCATCCAAAGGAGTCGAAGCCACTAGACAGAAGTCCACGAGATCCTGCCCATTCACAAATCTATTTTCGATATTCCTGCGTTATTTTCCTTCTTCATAAGTTGAGAACCGAGAAATTCTGCCAAATATTTAGAAGGTTTTAGCATTTTCACGTCATCCTACTCCCTTGTTAACTCTCTTTTCATAAGCTCGGGTCATACCAGGCTGATGGGTGTGAGACCTCATTGTCCGCCTTGACCTTGACACGAGGGGATTCAGATGTGACACGCCCGTTTAGTCGAGCACGCAACTGACTTGTCAAACTAAAAAAGTTTGGCGGAAGATGGCCCGTATAAGGAAAATCCCCCTAACCTATATGGTCCAAAGATCCCACGGGATACTTACTTCAAATGAGTGGTGATTGAAGCCCTGATTTACCTTTTTCATCAATACTCGCTTTGTCGCCAAAGATGGGTTAGGCAATCTGAAACAGCTTATCGTGCACGTTTCATCATGCAGCACGCAAGAGGTCACAGTTCCTAACTGAGGTAGTTAGCCTGCATAAAGTGAAGAGCGGATTGTTTTGCGATAGTCGTGTGGATGTGAATTGTGATGAACTTACTTCCAGTTATGAATAAACTGATACACAGGGTGCCATATGTCAAATTTATATGCGTGTCAATATTTGTAGAGATACGCATCACCTTTTTAAACGTTGAGTCGGTCATACACACTGAGTTCACAAGAACCACAGTGTCCGTGGTTTAGTGTATATGAGTGAGAAGTTGTCTGTTTGGACCTTTTTGTCTCATTAATGCATGGCTTTGCTGATGACTGAGAAACTATACCATTTCAGGTATTCACCATACCAGTAAGCTTGCTGTACTATCAACCTTGAGAATTCATTTCAACAAAACTGTTTCTTAGAATGGAAGTATGTCTTTTTGGTTGTCTTCACGTATACATTGATCCTGTACCGAGGTTTCGTATCCAGTAAGGTTCCGAAAAGAGCATAAAGTATATCCAAGTTATTTACCTTTCTTTCTGTCTTGATGAACTACATAAAAGGAACCGGACATTCCAAATTGTCCACAGTTACATCCAGCTGAGTGATGTAACAAATTAAAACAAAAATCCCCTACTACTCATCGGTAATCAAATACCGCTCACCAAGTCAGTGATTTCTGTGATTTCAACTTGGAGAGAAGTCCTAGTCGAGGGGTCATCGATTGGAGTTAACAGACAGTAACTGTGTCTCCTCTCGAGGCGATCAGGTAACCTGATCATTACTTACAAGCGAAAGTGGTTGAGCGTTCACATGCGATGATAATTTTGTCGTGCCTAATGTGAGGTCAATGGCGCATTGGTAAACACGGTTGCCTCATGAACAACGTGTCCGTGGTTCAAGTCCCGGCAGTGGCGATGATATGCACCACTGACGAGCTCTAATGAGAGCGAAACTCGGGTCTAGTGCTTCTTTTCGAAAGGGGCCGACTGGAAAGTCTGTGGGAATGGGACAGCTGCGATCAATTGTGGGTTATGTTCAATCTATATGAAATAACAAAATGTTTTGATGTAATCCGAGATGAGGGAGTCGTGTAGCTGATCGAAACTAGTAATCAACTATGACATTAATACCTAAAATACAGCACCGACCTATGACAACGACCCAATTAAAACTACTGGGTTGGCTAACTTCTGCTTTTAGAACTCATAATATAATCAGTAAATGCTGCACTTGAACTGGGCAACCCTTTTCTGTCACGGCCGAACATCTTTGGTACCCGTAGTAGTTTAACTGCGCTCCATGTAGACAGATCCGTGAATCACTTAATCAAATACTGTGCTCTGGCTAGGTGAAAACAGATCGGTTTTGACAGTTTGCCCCCAAACACGTGGGAAATGAATCCTTTTGCTAAAAAATGTGTACTCAGCATAACAATTGTTAGATGAAGTAAATTCACTGGGAGAGAGTTCAGGAACACCAAAAGGAAAAGGAGGGTCTCCGATGTACTCGAAATATTCACCAGAATTAACAAACTGTTTGAAGAGTGTCACATGCATTGATTGCAAACCTCAGAGTCTGGTGCTGATTATTTGCTACATTCCACAAGCAGACACACACACGCGTCTCTTTCAATGCGTCCTTTGTTTGTACAACGAAAGCCTGGAGAGACTTCAGAGCTGGTAATTTTGGTTAAAGCCATGTATCACTATAAATACAAGCCATGCCAGGAACATCCCTGTCTCCTGGCAATAAACCACATGAAGTCGGCATGAAAAATTTGAAACTACTTCATTATGCAATGAGAATATGTGGTTATTTGAGTTATGCTGATCCAATACTGAAGGTTTACCCATACTTTTTTCTCTCCATCCTACAAATGGTCATATAGTTCACGGTGGCTACGACCGATGGTTTAGTGATTAACATAAGCATTGAGTGGTACTAGTCAATTTTCTAATAGTAGACGAACCGGCTGTATGTATTTATTAGATCATTTTGTGATAGAGTAGATGCACTCCATTGTTTGACCATTTCGAACTGTCGGTAGTCAAGTAAAGTAAAAACTAACCACAACGGTGTCTCCTCCGAGCTTCCAACTAGAATTCTTCACAAGCATTTACCCTATTTCTTTGAAGGTTTGTCACTTAATCGGCTACACTTTTTCATAATGTTAGCATAAGCTGAATGGAAAACCTATGGGAGTTCGACAACACACACATCAGTTGTGAGTGATGTTCAATTTATACGAGAAACTAAAATCTCCTACTACTAATCAGCAAATGCCATCTGCGCAGTCAACCTCCTGGTTCATTTGGTAGATTTTTTACGGCACAGTGGGGTGGGTAGGCAAACGTGACTAAATATGAAATTTTCGAACACCCTGAGTGGTTTCGTAGTTTACCTGATACTGCCTTAGTCGTAATGAGGTGGGATTCAGGTCAAGCGTTTCGTAGCAAAATGACTGTTCACGAAAACGCATCAAAATGTTATCTACCCTTGTAACAGTCGACAAGTACCGTCAGACCAGAAACATTTGTTGGTTGGTTGTAACGAGAAGCAGTAACATCCTTCAGAAATGTTGACTGTTTCACTGAAGTACCAGTGTGTCTTATTGATTGAATAATGTTGGTGGGAGTGACGTATGTAGACACTACTCCGATGAATGGATTTCACGAAGTTGCAATGCAGATGAAGCCGGCAGCCAATCATTCAACCGCGCGCCAAAGCACATTATCCATCCTGCGGTTTAAACAGTTTGAAAATATTCGGTGTAGGCGTGTGACCCATAATATCACGTAGCGTCTTCGGGTTTAAAGATTAAATTTTGAATCGGAGTAATAAATCATACAATAAAACACAGCGTTTGAATTCCGCAGATTTTGTGTCTTTTCAAAGGCGTTTGTTTGTCCCTAGCGGGTGAGAAGGACGTGCTTTTGGGACAAGCATGTTGGACACTACGACATTGACCTCACACAGACATAATTCAAAGGGGGACTGCATGCAACTGGCTTGTGGATGACGTAATAGTTAGATTAACTGTGGCTGCGCTGGTTATCTTATTTACACAAATCGAGATTGAAAAGGGGACCAATAACGGAATGGAACTTTCGCTAAAGTTACAGAGCTGGTCAGATATGCACATATTGGAATGTGATATATTCAACCGAACAAGGTTTGTGAGTTGATCGGAAGAAATGGGGAATGTATGAAAAGTCGGCAACTGTTGGAGTCTTCATTGGTCCATTTTGAATAGACGTGAATTCTTTGTTAGGGTATGGGCTGAATTTCATGAATATGGCTGAAGCAAAAGTCATTGCATATAACAAGTTGTAGTGGGTGGCGGACATAATTTGTTAAACCATATGATATTTCGTGAAAAAAAATATGTTCGGTGAACAGAACCGTGTACGATAAATTATCATCTTAGAATGGTACGTTAATATGTCAAGATTTATAATAGAAAGGGTTAACATTTAACGACCAATGGTTTGTTTTTGATTACTTTCCAATTTCTGAGTCGTAAATAGTTTATGTTAGAGAATCATCCCTTGGCTTTTCTTACTCACATAAATTCTACAGTCTCCCAATGTGACATAAATTGCGTAAATTAGTTGGATGCTAAAGCCAGCTGAAGGTTAACCCGAAAGTCATGTGGCTCAGATTACAACAGCGATGAACGGGCGCCTCGACATAAGACAAAACGCATTTGAGGATGAAAACAACAGCAACGAAAAAAACACAGTAGTATAAACGTGACCCGTTCGACCTAGATGTTTTGATGTTCAGACCTCAACGTGGTTGGGTAAGAGAAATATGTCAACATGAAATTTCCATACAACCATCGTGACTGCACTGCCTCGTTCTTCGGTCCAGTCAGTGGATTTCAGTACAATAACATGGGCAACCAGGTAAACAAAACCAACACGGCTACTGCTACGAAA